TTATTTTCATTTCTTCTCTTTCTTCTTCCTATTTCTTAATTTTGTATAATTTTGATCTTTTTACTTGAAGACCTTATGCATTTTATTGATCGTTCATAAAAACAAGATTTTTAATTTTATTTTTCTCAGAAAATTTAGCTCTTATCTTTGTTAATTCTGTTCATCTACTTTCCTTTAACTTTGTTCCATTATAATCTTTCAAATGAGCTTAAATTTCTATATTTATAGCCTGTCCTCTTTATTCATCAAGGCATTTAGGACCAATATTTTTACTGTATCCCATATATATGTGTATGATATGCTCTTTTAACTTTTTTCTAAATTAATCCATTAATTTTATGTTATTTGAGAATATAGTTCATAATTTTATTATTGATTGATAATTTTATTTGATTATAATCAGAGAATTTACTCTGCAAAGCATATTGATTGTTTCAATAAGATTTTCCTGCAGTGTATGACCAATTTTTTAATGTTTTTATAATATATAAGTAATAAAGTCTATATTCTTAATCAAAAGATTAAACTAGATATTCAAATTTGTTGATTATTTTATCCAATTCCATTCTGGTCTTAGTAATTTTTTACCTACTAAACCTGAAGTTGAGAGAAGTACATTAAAACTCCTCCATTTCAGTCAAATTCTTGTTGCAATTCTAAAAGGTCTTTGCTTATAATTTAACTATGCTGATTAGTGTAAGTTTATGACATTTCTTTTGTACAAATAGTTATGTTAACACTGAATAATGTTCTTCTTTGTTATGTTTAGTACTTTTATCCAAAATTTTTCCCCTATCTAATATTAGGATTTTACTCCTGTTTTCTTTCTATCTAGAACTTTTTTCTCATTCTTTTACTTCTAATATTTGACTTAATTCCTTCTATCTTACATTAATTTTACTTTCTGATTTTCTTCTATTGCTTTGATCAAGTAAAAATTCAGGCCCTCGTTCCTTAGTATTAATTTTAAAAGTTCCCTTATCTTTTGCCACTCTTCTTCAAGTTCCATCTCAGAAAACTAATAATCAAATGACAACATTTCTTCTGTATTATATGAAAACCAGCCATCCAACATTTTCCTCCACTAGACAGTTTTTTTCTCCCATCTCTTTCTTCCCTTTCTATATATAAGATAACATTTTTGAAATATGTTTTCCTTCCCCATTCCTAAATGAGAACTTTGAAATACCTTTTCTTCCTTCTATTCCATCACTTTTAACACCAACTCCTAAGTTTTGATCATGCAATTTAGTGTTTTTAATACTTTTATATTTAGACTATTATCAATTTTCATTTTTATTATATTATGACTTCTTCTTTTTCAGAATCCTTACTTAGCACATCAAGACCTAGTCACATTTTGTAGTTCATTTAGATTTAAACAACTGGATATAGCTACAGCAGAACTTACTAACTTCTCCTTTTAATCTTCTCTCACACTGAAATCTCTGTAGCAATTTTTTTATTGTTTAATGAGATTCTATTTTTGGACTGTTCTATACAGGTGAGCTTTATGGTTGACATAATCTCTGAATCCTGAATATTTGTAAATTTGTAAATTTATTTTAACTGAATGATATCTTGGATGCATGTGAGTTCCTTGAAATGGGAGCTTCTTCTTAGAAATCTGTGGATATTATCAGATGAACTTCCAGAGCTGCAGATGAACAGTTTCTAGTCTTTCTTTTATAATTTGTAGGTAGCTTGTTCATTCTGTAACAAAATGTGAAAATTTTCTCTTTATTCTTAGACGTCAGAAATTTAACCAGAATGGGTTGAGGTGTGTGTCCTTTTCATCAGTCTCATATGGATCTCAGTAAGGCATTTTCCTCTGCAAACTCAAATTATACTTTGGCTTAAAGAAATATTCTGCTATTATTTTTACGTTATTGCATTTCCTCCAGAAAGTCTTTCCATAACTAAAATTATTCATGTGTTACATTTCCAGGATCTATTCTTTTCTTCTCTTCATGTTTTTGTTGTGTCTTGAGGTATTTCTTCCTCATAATCCTCCCAGCAATAATTCCATGCTCAATAGTGCTCATGTTTTTCAATACCATGTTTTTAGTTCTGAAAGTCTTTTATGCTGTAATAAATCTCCTTATATGCTCTAATTATTTCTGTAATTACACTTGTCAACCATTCTTTCTTTCCCTTGCTACTGCTTACTTGTGAGTTTGTTTTTACTCAATGAGGTTCAGATGAAGCTTCTATGATACATTAAGTAAGAGCAATCACTCTTCTAATAAGGTGTTTGCACACACAGAAAAACATGTCTTCCCAGCCAGCAGGTAAGCTTCAGGTTCTTCCAGTAAGCAGGTAAGCTTCAGTACCAAGAGGAAGTGTCTCTCTCTGCCAGCCTCTGTAGCCTTAAGGACAGTGGATAGAAGAAGCCCGGCCCACAACTCAGCAATTTGGCATTCCAGAAATGTAGCAGATCTTTCTGTGAATATCCATGATGAACATTGATGCAAAAATCTTCAATAAAATACTGGCAAACCGAATCCAACAGCACATCCAAAAGCTTATGCACCACGATCAAGTAGGCTTCATCCCAGGGATGCAAGTCTGGTTCAACATACACAAATCTATAAATGTAATCCACCACATAAGCAGAGCCAAAGACAAAAACCACATGATTATCTCAATAGATGCAGAGAAGACCTCCAACAAAATTCAACAGCCCTTTATGCTAAAAACCCTCAATAAACTAGGTATCAATGGAACATATTTCAAAATAATAAAAGCTATTTATGACAAACCCACAGACAATGTCATACTGAATGGGCAAAAACTAGAAGCATTCCCTTTGAAGTCTGGCACTAGACAAGGATGCACTCTCTTACCACTCCTATTCAATATAGTATTGGAAGTTCTAGCCAGAGCAATTAAGCAAGAAAAAGATATAAAGGGCATTCAATTAGAAGAAGAAGTCAAACTGTCCCTATTTGCAGACGACATGATCATATATGTATAAGACCCCATCATCTCAGCCCAAAACCTCCTTACACTGATAAGGAACTTCAGCAAAGTCTCAGAATACAAAATCAATGTGCAGAAATCACAAGCATTCCTATACACCAACAACAGACAAACAGAAAGCCAAATCATGAGACAACTCCCATTTACAATTGCTACAAAGAGAATAAAATATGTAGGAATACAACTAACCAAGAATATAAAAGACCTCTTCAAGGAGAACTACAAACCACTGCTCAAGGAAATAAGAGAGTACACAAATAGATGGAGAAACATTCCATGCTCATGGTTAGGAAGAATCAATGTTGGGAAAATGGCCATACTGCCCAAAGTAATTTATAGATTCAATGCTATCCCCATCAAGCTACCATTGACCTTATTCACAAAACTGGAAAAAAAACACCTTAAACTTCATATGGGACCAAAAGACAGCCTGCACAGCCAAGACAATTTTAAGCAAAAAGAACAGAGGTAGGCATCATGCTACCTGACTTCAAACTATATTACAAGGCTACAGTAATCAAAACAGCATGGTACTGGCACCAAAACAGATATATATGTCAATGGAACAGAACAGAGGCTTCAGAAACAATGCCATATACTACACCAACTGATCTTTGACAAACCTGACAAAAACAAGCAATGGGGAAAGGATTCCCTGTTTAATAAATGGTGTTAGGAAAACTAGCTAGCCACATGCAGGAAGCTGAAACTGAACCCCTTCCTTACATTTATACCAAAATTAACTTCACATGGATTAAAAACTTAAACATAAGAACTAACACCATAAAAACCCGAGAAGAAAACCTTGGAAACACCATTCAGGACATAGACATAGGCAAGTGCTTTATGACTAAAACACCAAAAGCAACGGCAACAAAAGCCACAATCGACAAATGGGCTCTAATTAAGAGCTTCTGCACAGCAAAAGGAACAGTCATTAGAGTGAACTGACAACCAACAGAATGGGAAGAAATTTTTGCAATCTACGTATCTGACAAAGGCCTAATATCCAGAATCTACAAAAAACTAAAATAGATTTACAAGAAAAAAGAACAAACCCATTCAAAAGTGGGTGAAGGATATGAACAGACACTTTTCAAAAGATGACATATATGTGGCCAACAAACATATGAAAAATGTTCATCATTATTGGTCATTAGAGAGATGCAAATCAAAACCACATTGAGATACCATCTCACGCCAGTTAGAATGGTGATCATTAAAAAATCTGTAAACAACAGATGCTGGAGAGGATGTGGAGAAATAGGAACACTTTTTTACACTGTTTGTGGGAGTGTAAATTAGTTCAACCATTATGGAAGACACTGTGGCGATTCCTTAAGGATCTAGAAATAGAAATTTCATTTGACCCTGCAATCCCATTACTGGATATACACCCAAAGGATTATAAATCATTCTACTATAAAGACACATGCACATGTATGTTCGCTGCACCACTGTTTACTATAGCAAAGACCTGGAACCAACCCAAATGCCCATCAATGATAGACTGGACAAAGAAAATGTGGCATATATACACCATGGAATACTATGCAGCCCTAAAAATGACGACTTCATGTCCTTTGTAGAGACATGGATGAATCTAGAAACCGTCATTCTCAGCAAACTGACACAAGAACAGAAAACCAAACACCACAGGTTCTCACTCATAGGTGGGGGATGAACAATGAGAACATTTGGGCACAGGGACGAGAACAACACTCACTGGGCTAGGTGAGAGGATGGAGGGGAAGGGATGAGAGGGACAGAAGAGGGTTGGGGAGGATGGGGAGGGATAACACTGGGAGAAATCCCTGATGTAAGTGACAGGGAGTTGGGGGGATGGAGACAGCAAACCACCATGGCATGTATATACCTATGCAACAATCCTGTAGGATACAGGATGTGCATATGTACCCCAGAGCCCAAAGTACAATAAAAAAATAATAAAAAGAAATGGGAGGAGGCAATACTTAGGAATCCAGTAGGCCTCACTAAATCCCATCTTCCTTTAACCCAGAGATAGACCAGCATGTTGTGATGAGGACATTCTGTCCCTGGACCAGAATGAAATGGTGCAGGGTGAGAGCATAGTTCCTCATTGTGCAGAGAGGAAGAACAGGGATCCTTTGGTCCCATTCTTCAGAGGAAGGGGCTCTGAGATTCCTGGCTCCTCTTGACTCTGAACTCACCATTGTATTTTTGGGAAGAATACCCACAGTACTTCCACAGACAGAAAAAACTCGAGGGCAAGGCCCAAATGTTCGGGTTTCTATGATCTCTCTATTAACCTCAAAGAATAAACTACAACATTCTAAAAAAAAAAAAAAAGAGGGAATGTTTAGAAAGATTTAAAAATGATAAACACTGCATAATCTGAGCAATCAGGGTAGAACATTTATTGGCCTGGTGCACAACTAATGTGGGTTTTGCAATTAATGAAAGTAAAATAGCAAAAACTGCAATGACTTTTGTACCAACTTGCTAAAAAAGTTTTAAACTGTGTATTATTATCAATTTCTCATTCCAATAATTTATTTTTAATGTCTGAACATGACAGAGGTATTTTTACATGTCATGCCTCAACTCTGTAGCAGATTTTATTCAGTACCTTTTATATTTCAGCAGGTAAGCTTCGGCTCCTTCCAGGTGGTTTCTAATTTAGATCTACAAAGTCACTTAATCTTCTGAAGTGCTAAAACTTGGCTGGTAATTGCTAACATGACACTTCTAAGCAATCTATTTGGAAACAGACAGAAAAATCAGGAATATTATCAGAGTGTTGTTTTGGCTCAGAAATCACATTTCACCCTTTAATTTCATCCATCATGTCCAGAAAATGTTTTTATATGAGATGGTGGAGTCAACATTTACCTGAAATTGTCTAGCACCCTTTGATTTTTATCAGGAATTGAAAGATGGGTCATTTGTCATGAAGCATACACAGAAATTTAAGTAATTTGAGATTCCTCTCATTTTAAGGTTCAAAATGGTACTTCTGCAGAACTATAGAATAAAAGTCTAGATATACTGGTTGCAAATGACATTGTATAACTTTGAATCAAATATATTCCAGCCTTAGAGGACAACAGTTTCCACAAAGAGCCTGTCTCAGCATCCACTATCAGGACAGTGAGGGGTACTGCTTTTCAGCCCCTAGCAGTCAAATGGACAGAAACATTTTTTCCCATGTTCATTGAAATTGGAAAAGCTTAGAATATTTTAATTCTCAAAAGAACAGGGTTCCCTCTGACTAGAAAAGAAATCTGAAAGCATTCAGTGGAGACTGAAGCAGGACAGTGCAAACTCCTGAACTCACACTGTAGCAACAGAGTCAGAATAGAGGAGAGTGTAGTTAGTCAAGTGAGGAGCTGAAGATGAGGTTATAACTTCACCAGAAACGTCAGTGACTTGACCAGTGTGATGGGTCCTGAACAAGGGGGAAAGCAAGATGTCTTGCAGCTTGGCTGAGGGTCAAAGTCCAAGAAAGAGTGGAACAGGCCGTCGATTGGGCGAACACCATGGACAGCTCCAGCTGCACTTTCCTTCCAAGCCAGCATGCACTGTCTTCTCTAGCAAAGCCCCTGAGAATTCTTTCTCAGGCCTCTCAGGAGCAAGAGCTGGTGCACAGTGAAGCCTTACTCCTGCTCCACCAGAAGTTTTCCATTCACAAAGGGGTAACTGACTTTTAGACCTGAACATGAGTCAAAGGTTCTTCTTCCCCAGGCTAGGGACATGTCATGGGTCTCTGTAGCAGCCCCCTGCTCTCTGTCCTTAATTTAAACAACAAAGAAAATCACCCCACAGTGAATTTGTAGAAAATTCTTATAAATGACAGAAAGATTAGAAAATTGGAGGAATCACAACTGTGAACAACACAAATTACTTTTCCTCCTTTAAAATAAGGTCTCTAAGGCAAAAAAGGTTTCCAGCAGGTTAGGGAAACTTTCACCTCCATGCCATCTTCAGAGGCTGCAAATTCTCTGGGAGTTGTCAACACACAGGGTATTAAACAGAGAAGACCAAATGGCATGTTGCAAATTGCTGAATTTATAATTCTTACTCCTTGAAAGTAAGAATTATAACCTCTTCTTACAATCCATGACCTTTTAAAATGCCCTGCTTTCATGTGCAGAAGCAGCAAGTCTGCAGTCTTAGGAGGGACAAGGGTAAAAGAAAGCCCAGGTAGCTTCCCTTAGAAGTGTCAGACCCGATTGTTATCACCCTAACCTGCTGGAATCCCAAGGCCTTGACTGTTTTGTCTCAGTGAGCACAGAGGCTTACCATGGCTAAACCTTGCAACAGGCAGGAGCCTGTGCCACTGAGGGCTCTTGTCCTAAGACATTCCTGCCCTAAGTTCTCTATTCTGTGTGCTGCAGTAAACATACATTGCTTCCCAGATATCACCATACCACAGGGGTTACTACATGCTATTTCGTCTATTTGAATAACTCCTTCCCTAACCCCATTTCCACATTTCCCTGGCTGGCTCTTAGCTTAGAAGTAACTTCCTACACCTAATATGTACCCACAAAAATTAATTTTTTTAATTTAAAAAAGAAGTTATTTTCCTCAGGAAGGCTGTCTTCGTAGGTTTCCCTCTTATTTGTTCTGTATTGGAAAATAGAGTCATAATTATTATATATAGTATGTAATTGCTAGTTTTGGTTTTTTGTTTTGTTTTGTTTTGTTTTTGAGGCTGAGTTTCACTCTTGTTACCCACGCTGGAGTGCAATGGCGCAATCTCGGCTCACCGCAACCTTCGCCTCCTGGGTTCAGGCAATTCTCCTGCCTCAGCCTCCTGAGTAGCTGAGATGACAGGCATGCACCACCATGCCCAGCTCATTTTTTTGTAATTTTAGTAGAGACAGGGGTTCACCGTGTTGACCAGGATGGTCTCGATCTGTTGACCTCGTGATCCACCCGCCTCGGCCTCCCAAAGTGCTGGGATTACAGGCTTGAGCCACCGCGCCCGGCCTGCTGTTTAATGATCAGCCTCTCTTACTAAACTATATACTCCTTGAAAGTAAGAATTATAACCTGTTTTCTGCTCTATTCTAAGCACTTTCCATTGTATCTGGCCAATAGGTGTTCACATTAACTGAAGGAATGAACTTCTCTGTCCACCAAGTGTAGCCTTCCCTCCTGATATAATCAACATTTGTTGACTTTGTATACATTACCAGTAGTCCACAGGCAGGAAACACCCATGAATTTGGCTTAAAGTTAGAGTGGAAATGCATTATTTGTGGTGCAACTACAGTAAATGAGGCATCTTTGTTTCTGCGGCAGCTGGCTGCCGTCACGCAGAGTTTTTCTCCAACTACAGCGCATTCTATTGCTGTGAACGCTCCTGCCCTAAATCCACTTCTTCATACCACGCTGACCCTTTACGTGTTCTCACAATGCTCTTTATGACCATTATGTACTATAAGCAAAACAGAGAAAGCCCTGAAAAATCTCTAAGTGTAATGGATCTGTCAGGACAGATCAACTTTGGAAGGATGATGCTTTGTGTACTTAAGGCTTTTCTGTTTGTTTTTATTTAACAAACGACTTTCATTTTAGATTTATTGTAGCACGAATTATTGCCCTCGATTGCAGGGCACTTTCTACTTGAAACACACTGTTAGATGAAATGTTTTGCAAGATCATTCATCCGATAATCTATTTCCACCTTTAACCCAGTTGTAGGTGTAGGTACCATTTTTCAGAAACTCTGTGATGCACACATCACCAATCCCGAGATAATTGTTAATTGTCTCTTTCACCTCCATGCCATCTCCAGAGGCTGCAAATTCTCTGGGAGTTGTCAACACACAGGGTATTAAACAGAGAAGACCAAATGGCATGTTGCAAATTGCTGAATTTTAATGGGGAGTTTCTTTCCATTGCAAGCGAGAAAATACCTAAAAAGCCAAGAATCAAGAGTAAAGAGAAGAGGACACCTATCAAGTCGTTTTATTTTTATTAAATGACCTAACTGAAGATGTTTGCAGTCATTATAGGCTTAGTTTAAAATTATCATTACCATAAACCAAAGTCCAAAAATGGGTAAAACTGAGTGAGTAGTGAGTTTAACATGATGCTCATATAACCTTGATACTGAAGTTTATAAAATACAAATCAAACAGCCCTTTTTCCCCCTAAATTCTCTGAGAAAGAAGACCTTGGTCCTTTTCTTCCTCAAATTCTCTGAGAAAATTACCCCAGTATTAGGATGCATTTACCGCCTATGAATGAATTCTCTAACTTGTGGGAATTATAATCAGCTTTTGTGAGGCTTCTGTAACACTTAGAGCCTCATTAAGTAATAACATTTAGTGTTGTCTGACTCTCCCTGTACTCTGGTACTTCGTAGATGTAGGAGAGAAAAAGTAATATCTTTTCCTTACTTATCACAAGGGTTATAGCTGACACCCCAATAACGAAAGATTAACAAGAAAAATGCTTAACAAATTTGTTTAACCAGTTTTACACAACACAAGAGTCCTCAGATATGAAGAAATAAAATTCAAGGAAAACTGTGTTTTGTGCATAGGTTTGATGGAGTGGACAGTCATCTAGAAGTATGACTGGATAAAATAGGTGTGATCAAATGGTAACAAACTTGGGGTGGGGGACACAGCAAGGCCTGCCTAGTCAATTCCTCTCGGCTTCCAGGTGTAGAGCAGGACACCTGTCACAAGAGGGTCTTATGACTTACCTTCAGGCAAGGTAGGTCAGAGGACTCCTTCATGGCCAGTTCTCTCTCACACAGAAATGTTTCAGAAGGTCACAGAGACCCTTTGACTTCTGCAGTTTTCTCAATTTCTCACAATATGCTACGATACCACATTTTGGGGTACCAGATTCTAAGCCCCAACATAGATAAAATGATGCACAATGAGAGAACCTAAAGCCCAAATGAACTCCTACTTGGCATAGTCTTTTGGGGATGACTCAGAGGATGTACCCAGCTCAACATGTCTCTGCGCAAGAGTCCCTAGTGGACCCACCCAATCCAATCGTGCTCCCTGCCCAAGTCACTGCCTTCCCTGGAGCCAGGGTAGTCTCTTCAAATTGCAATGCAGCTGTGCAACCTTCATGCTCATAACACATGGCCCATTAGGTAGAGACAAGCCTTCAGCACAGCCTAGGACGCCCTCCATATGGTGCCTTGCACACCCGCTCTGCAGCCCTGCCTCGCAATGCTCCCCCTGCTCTCTGCACACACTCTCAGGCTCTCTCCCATTCCTGAAGTTTGCATACACTCTGCCATGAGACTGCTGCCCAGGCTCTTCTTCTTCCCAGACTCATCTTTGTGCGCCTCTGTCTGTCCAAATCCAACTCATGCTCTGTTTCTCAGCTTTAGCCATTGCCACATCAGAGAATCCTGCCCTATCTCTTGTGACCAGGAGACATAGCCCCATCATAAGGTCTCACAGAATCACGTGGTACTTGTCATTGTAATTTTACTGTTTGCATGGCTGTTTGATTACCTGTCTTCCCCATTAAACCATGAACTTCAAGGGGCTACAGACTATATACATTGTTGATAATCACTGAACACCCAACACCCAACATGTAGTACGTGCTCAATGACTATTTCTTGTGTTTAACATTTATTATGTAAAGAAAGAACGGGAAACAAAAAAAAAAAGGAGGTAAGAGAGGAAGAATGGAAGGGAGAGAGAGGAAAAGGAAGGAAGGAAGAACACATGTTTAGGGTAAATAAACAAGCATGCGCTGGTGTGTTATTCAGTGGAAGTTGTATTTAGGACATAACTGATGCCTGCTGGAGGGAAAATGGAATATTCTAAGTCCTGTGCATCAAGCACCTCAAAAGTCAGGTTTCCACCTGCTTGAGTAAGAAGGAACTACATTCCTTCAACAACAGTGGAATCAATATAAAATGAGCAATGAGGTTTTCACTAAACTCTTTGAGGATGGGTCTCATACAATTCTTTTTTTTGTTTGTTTTGGTTTGGTTTTGAGACAGGGTCTTGCTCTGTCACCCAGATTGCAGTCCAGTGGCATGATCATGGCTCATGGCAGGCTTGACCTCCTGGACTCAAGGGATCCTCCCACCTCAGCCTCCTGACTAGCTGGAACTATAGATGCATGCCACCATGCCCAGCTAATATTTTTTTTAGAGAGAGAAGATTTCTTTGTTTCCCAGGCTGGTCTTAAACCTTTAGAATCAAGCAATCTCCCTGCCTTATCCTCCCAAAGTGCTGGGATTACAGACGTGAGCCACCACACCCAGCCTTCATGCATTTATGGGAAATGAGCTGGTGCCTTTCTCTCCAGATCCTGGAAGTTCTGCTTTAAGAAACAAATCACTCCCAAATACGTTATCCTAGTAAGTCAATCCCTGACCACAATCTCTTCCTAGTCTCTCTCAGGTCTTTCCTTACCCTGAGTCTTGATGCCTTTGTGCTTTGTTTTAAGCCTCTCAATCACTGCTGTTGACCAGCACTGACCACTTTCACCGAGCCCCTTCTGGAACCCAAAGAGGTGATATGTATGGTAAAGTGGCTTATATTATAGAATCAATTTTTTCATCAATAAACCATGGAAAACAACAGTACACATTAGACTGTATGATCACATGTCAAGTTACTGTGATGAAAATAAATCAATGCACATAAATCTCTCAGAAGAGTGTCCCACATGACAAGTGCTCAGCAAATGTTAGCTATTCATTTATTTATTTACATGGACTTCAAAAATCTCATCACTGAGGAAGTTCCTGCCTCCCCATGGGGAGCCTGTTTTCTTTTCTCAGCTCAGGCTGAGCACTGACTGCAATGTGTTCCATTTAGACCCCTCTATGGTGTGGCTCTGCCATTTTCCTAGCATCACATGGGATAAAATTGCTTCCATCCTACATAACCAGGGGCATCCGCTCAAGCAAGTCAACTCCTTTAGCTCTTTCTGAATCTCTGTTGAGAGTGGATGCAGCGTGTGCTTCGTTTCTTCAGTGCTCCCAGTGCGTGTGGAGGGAGGGGAATTTTCCTTAACCTCCGAAACGCCCCACCTGTAGTACATTTCTTTCTCTGCCAGGTGATGTGTACTCCCTGAGGCCAAGTATTCTGTCCTCTTTATTGGGTCTCAGCACTTTCCGGGGCTCAGGGCATGATCAGTAGAGAACGAATGGACCTGTGACTACAAATACTACAAGGGTTTCCATTTTCCCAGCTCTCTTCATTAGGTCAGCACATTTTTAAAATGTCTGCTCTCCAGGACAAATTCCTCAAGCACTCTTTCATGATCAGTTTTCTCCTGAAAATAGGCTGCCCCACTAAACGTACAATGTGGACAAAAAATTTCATTTCAAATGCATGTTCCTGGTCTCTGCAGCACCTTCACGTATAAGCTCCCCATCCCATGTTTTGACACAAGTCCTTACTTCTGGTCTCTAGCTGAAGATGTTCATGGCAGATGAAATTCAAGTCACTTCCTGTGAAGAATTTCTTTCCGTTGCCTCAAAATGTGAAGAAAGGGTAGAGACATAAAGTTTCAAAAAAAAAAAAAAAGAAAAGAGTGTGATTTTTATTCTTAAGTAACTAAAAAGAAATTTATAAACCAGAATTTTAAAACATTACAAATAGTCCTTCCATCCTTGTTACACAGTCTTTGCAGTCATCAAGGGGAGATTATGGATTTAAATAGGCCGATTCAGCAATAAACAGGCAATAATTGTTTCTAAATAATGTACCTTTGCAAATATTAATGAGATCATATATATGGGCTGAGTATATGGGGCTTGGAGCAAACACTCAATAAGTGCACAGTATGTGCTGGTGCTTCGTAAATACCATATGAGTAAATAAATAAAATGAATGAAGTTTCAAATGTTACATGGTGTTAAAGTATCATAGGTTATATATTCATTTTGTGTAAGAAACTATTATAACTGGGAAAATGTTTCTAAAATTGTGTATATACTTTAGAACAGAAAATACATATTTGCCTATGTAAGACTTATGATATTTCAGAAGGATCTTAAATAACCTACATTTTAAAGCTCAGTACAAGCCATTTGACAACAATAGATAAGGCCAGCTTCTTCCTAAATGCAAACAATAACACAAAAGCCAGGGAAAGAATAATCACAAGTGTTACATCAAATTATGAATTACTCATACTCTATAAAGCCAAGGCTAATCATATTTGAAGAGTATAAATCACAGGTGCAGCCTATATTGATAGGAATCATACCTTCTGGAGAGCTTTCTATAGAGTCACTGTGATAGGGCCACTATTTCACACTCAGATTTTAAGAAACACATACACAAAAATGAGGGGGGAGATATGAGATTGACTTGAAAAAAGTGGTCAGAACAGTGAGCAAACAGCCAAACAACAAATGAAGGTGCATCAGTACCACACAGATATTAGAAACAAAGAGAAAAATCTGGGCAACAAATCGAGGTGAAGACACAATGAACATGAATGCACACAGAGCTCAGGAGGTCGGATCAGGATGCCAGAACGAACCTTTCTATCAGAAGCAGTCTTCAGAACCACTTCTTCGGTAACAGCAAAGCCACAACTAGTTTTACACTGACCTAATATTTTTTACCCAAATGAGATACATAAATAGAGATATATGGAATTAATTAGGTAATAATGCTATACAACACCATTTGGGGAAATAAAAAATAATAGTTAAAATCACAAGATAAATTAAAGTCAAATGCATCTGAAAATATGTCACTAAAAAAAGCAAGAATGTTTATCCTAGCAAAAAAAAATTTAAAAACTAAATTAGATAGATAGATAACATTAAATTAACTTTGGCAATTTCAATAGTCTCTTAAATTCTAAGAATTCCTGGGAAGCAAAATTTCTAGTAAGTTCCTTTCTGAAGTATAAATAGTCTTGTATCTTATAGTCTGGAAACAAGAGAGAAGACTCCTTTTTAGGTGTTCATTTATTTAGGTAATCACCCAGCAAGAACCTCATTTAGTGCCTACTAAAGAGCTGTTTTGTTAAGGAAGCTTCTGAAGGCCCACGACTGTATGCTTCATTTTCTTTGTACATATGGTGCCGCGTAATGAGGGGGGAAAAAGTAAACCATTTAGCAACAAGTATTTTATAAGCATCATAAATTTTAGGTCTTAGGCTAACATTTGAGCTTTGTGCTCCAAATCACCACTCACACCTGTGGATTGTGTCGTTGTTTTTTAATAATTAAAAAGAACGTACAGAGAGGAAACTTGCAGAATAGTGGCATGAGGGCCATGTACCTTCTTCCCAACAAAATAATTATAGTTAGTGAAATTTATTTTCTGAAAATTTGATCTCTGTAAATTTCCTCAAGGCGTACAGCAAATAGAAAAACAGATGAAAGAAAATCTGCTAAATCTTCGTAAGAACAGCCAGGTTTTGTATTTGAGCTACACCCAGCTCAGCAAGGTGGAAACTCTACCCTCGAAGGGCACTGCTGGGACCATAGGGTTCACTGCCTGCTGGGCTCCCGTGCAGTGTCTCATAGCAAATCCTAAAATGCACACAGCAGAAACCGGCAGAATGGGACAGAGAAATAGAAAATTCAACAATAGTAGTTGGAGACTTTAATATGCGATTTTTAGTAATAGATGGGATAACTAGGCGGAAGAACTGCAGGGAAACTGAAGACTTGAACAACACTGCAAACTAGCGAGACCACGTTGGGTGGAGTGTCCAACACCACAGCACACAATGGAATATGCACCCTTCCTACGTGCACATGAAGCATTCTCCGGGCTAAGCCATACAGTAGGTCATACAACAACCCTCAGGAAACTTAAGGGATTGGAGTCAGACAAACTATGCTCTCTGACCACAGTGGAATGAAATCAGATATAAATGAAATTATGGGAATCTCATAAATATGTGAAAATGAAACATACTTTGAGGTGATGAAAAGGTTCAAAACTGATTGTAGTGATTATTGTACAACTCTGTGAATATACTACGAACCATGAAATTGTATAGTTTAAATGGACAAATCAGATAATATGTGAATTACATCTCAATAAAGCTGTTTATTTAAAGAAGCATACACTTCAACAAATACACACACACTTACATGCAACACACAGCACCATGCCTGCAGGAATTTAAGTGAATATGTGAAAGAGAAATTTTACAAACTAAAAACTGAAAAAAATGATTTGCTTTAAAAGTTAGCTCCTTTTGGTATTCAAATAATTCTATTCATACAACATCTCATAACATTTTCCTGCCCAGGGCATGTGTACTGAATGTTCCAAGGCATGTTTTTAAGATTAAGGCAATTTTCAGTAAGATTCGTTCTCAACTGAGTACATTTTATTTATCCTTTTCAATGACCTTATCCAAAGCAGGATAACAAAAAGCCTCTAGGCACACCTGTGATTCACTTGAGGTGCCTCTAATAACTTGAAAAGAACTAAATTGTTTTTAAGTTGCGTACAGCAAGACTTTGTCTACAGCTGAGAAATCATTCAATCTATGACACTATTGCTATTTAGTTACAGTAATACCAGTAAGGCAAATTAAAGCATTATTTTTGCATTTTTTCCTAGCTGTGTTTTTAAGATTATCATAAAATTTAAGCAGAACTTTATGCACAAATGAAATCCAAACAGCAATGTTTGAACTTTTCCAGGAAAGACCCAATACGTACCAAGCTGTTTCCACTTAAAATCCCTTAAAATATCAGTCACAACAGACAGAAAACAAATAACCATGATAATGTAATAGCTGGCATTTACTGAACACTTTCTGCGGGCCAGGCACTAGGCTCAGCACTTTTCATACATTATCTCATTTAACCCTCAGGGCAACATTACAAAGTATATGTTACTGACATCCCTACTTTCCAGAAGAAAGCACCAGAAGTCAGAGAGGTAAACTAATTTTCCAAGGCCAATGCCTTGGCTATGATCAAAATCAGATCTTTCTGTAGGGCAGGCAGCTCAAATTAGTAGAGCTGCACCAGTTAGTAAAACATTGAAATCATTTTGCATTGCTTGGTAAATGGCCACTTCTCAGCCGTCCCCAGTGCTCTGTCCCAGTCCCCCTTCCCACTGCCCCAGCCACCCTGGCTGCTTGCCAGGGCCTCTTACCTTCCCCCAATCCTGCCTGGTCATGCCCATGTCCCTGCTTTGCTGTTAAATATTTTAGTATCAATGCCACCCATGCACCTGCATACACTCTCCCCAGAGACCTTGGGAGATTACAGTTGATGACTGAGCCAAAACTGATTGCAGTCCAAGTCTACAGCCCCTGAGTGTGGTCTTCCTCCCTGGTGCCCAATACCAACTGTCATTGCAGCGGGATCCCAGCTTTCATTCCCACACCACACAAATGCAGTGTGCCCTGTAGTGCAACAGCTTATGCCCCCTGCAGCATCTCGGCCTGCAGGAACCAAGGCAAGCCTAAAAAGACATCAGAACTAAGACATCAGAAAAGCCACTTCCCACTGAGGTGTCTCCTATCCAGCTATTGTCAAAATCACGATTATCACCAGGTACTTAGAAAGCTTCTCATGTATAACTAAGCAATAAAGATCTTACTCATTTTCCTACAACAATCAGGTGAAATAGGTTAACTGTGCCCTCATTGGAAAAGCAAGAGGTCAGCATATTTTAGGGTGAGTAGCATTTCCAAGGCACTTGGCAAATTAGAAGGAACTTATCCAGAGTGTACTGTTTTGCTGGGAAATCCAGCTGCCTTTCTGATCTGACCTACAACAGGAAAGTGAAGCCATTTTTGCCTCAAACATTTGGGTCCAGGAAATACTTTGGCTTGAAATAGACAATTAAGGAAAATAAGGACTTTTATGTGGCTAATTAAGTTATAATTATTCTATTGTCTCTCTTACTTTCCTACTTACATTTAATGTCATAAAATAAGGAGGAGGAAGTACAGCAAGTAGAGTAGAAAACCAAGGTTAAATAAAAAGCAAATATGGGTGATTAGAAAATCTGTCACATACATTCATGCACAAAATGTTTCATAGTCATTGACAGCAGATCACTTTCTATAAGTGGCTTAATATGACTGTACAGCAACACCATGCATTGCACAAGACCCATGGGGACCATGTTGAGTGTGATGCAGAGAATTCTTGGGGTGGAAAGGGCAGTAATTTGCTCAAGCACCCATCAATGTCTAACTGTTGGAACAGGGATCAGTGGTATCCCCAGTGAGGGCTGCTGGAAGGGAAAAAAGGGAGTTAAGCTGTGATCCCCAAGAGTCTCCTTCCCCTTCCAATCAACTGCCACCCCTGCAACCCTCAACAAGGTTCTTCACAGGGACAGACCCAGATTTCTAGATCTTTCTGTTTAGGGATTTTCCTATTATACTACAGGAGCCTCCAGGACGTCCTCCTCTTCCACTTGAGGTTAAAATTCTAAACGCCAGGAGTGAATATTTCAGACTCCACCCCACCGTGCCAAGAAGCTGGGTTGATCCCAGTACCGGCTCTGAGCACGTCCTCTTCACTATATT